CTGTGGTAATGTTGTATTCACAGTATGGTTATTAATTTTCTCCCAAAACGCCACAGTACGTGAGGAACCATCGCACAGGTCAAATCTTCTATTTGCAAATTATCTGTTGTCTTAACACATTTGGCAGTCTCCTTTCTACTATCCGAGGTATGAAGTAATACATTTGTATCGTTTCAATCGCCGTTTTGGGTTTTTTGTTCATCTACGGTCAACAAAAATATTTTCAAAATTAATTATGTGTATTTTATTAATAATCAATGATAGTGACAAAACCAACAGTGTACAGGTGTCATTTTTTATTTTACCAACAACTTTATGATCGTTAACATTATATTTTCATGTATTTGCATTTGTTTTGGAATTTTGTCAATTTGCAAATGAGACACCCTCCATTTCTTTACTTGATTTATTATTCACTTGTTTACTCTGACAAAGCCTAAACACATTATCATGCGTTTATAAGTTTATCTCAAATTTTGACTGATCGATAATGAGTTTTGGTTTCTTCAAAAGTTATTAGAGCTAAAATTTAGGACTGGAGGTAATGAAGTATTATTTTAATCAGTTTTCTTTCTCCGGTCCTAGATTTTAACCTTTAGACGACCTTCTACGAGTACTTATCCAAAACTGGTCATTGATGCAATATACGCGACCATTAAAGTTGATTTATGTTCTGGAAAATACTAAAAAAAATGTATATATTTAGTGATTTTATAATATTGTAAAATAACACCGACACAAATGATTTCAAATAGAAAATCTACAAAGCTGCAATTATTTTAAGAGAAAATTAGTGTCACTCCTTGATGAATCACATGTACTTGAGTGGCGCCAATTTTAGGTAAACGCAATCTGCTTAAAACCATATTGCCGCCATTTGTCAGCAACTCGCAGCAGCTGTCGTATTACCGCGGCGGGTTGTCTCCTTAAGAATACATAATTCATTTAGATTTATGTGATTTATTTCAATCGGTTTTTTTTTTATTACAACAACAATTACTTTATGTAAAAGCCAATTATTTTTGCCACCCCGGGAACCACCCGGATCGCAGCAGTGTGATAAAAACCATTTCGCTTATCAGTTATGATGTTATCAGTTATCACATTATCATAAGAAATTCGAATTTATCTATTGATCAGTATGGTTGATAATATCATTATTAACGGTGCAGTGTTTAACAACGTGTACAACAATTATTTATTTTAATTTAAAATGGTCACGCTTTCGCTCGTCTTCTTGATTACTTCGTTGATGAGTACAGGACATTATGATATTACAGATCTATATTATATATTGGCTACTCTATGGGCTGAACGGATTTTTGTTTTTTTTAATTTATACCATTATTGTTATCTCGCGAGTGCGGATTATTTATTTATGTTTTTTTGTTTGTTGTCCGGTTGTTGTTTCAATGAACTCTTCTCTCCCGAGTTTGTTTTACTATATCAATCGCTGTTTACGGCTGTAAATTCAAAACAAGGCCTCGCTTGTGCATAAACACACACGGCCGACAGACAAGCTACTACGATATTCGTCATGTAGTGTTTCGGTTGGGCTATATTTGCTCCTCTAGTGTCGAAGGTGCTCGAAAAGTGATGATAAATAAAATTTAAAAAAATCAACTTAAAACGCGCGCATACCTATCCCATTTTTAATGGGCTTTAGTCACTGTTTACTGGGTTTTGTCGTCGCAGCAGCACGGTCGAACACATTCGCAGTCAATGGCTCGGTTAGGACGGGTAATGTTATCATTTTACCGTATTGTACACAGTATATATTTTTTAATAACATTAAATTAACATATGATATTTAAAATAAATGTATATAACGTACTAAATGTCTAACAAAATCGTAACACCGTTAACACGCATACAATACATTATTCAGGTTACTTAATATACTGAGTAGGCTGAAATCAAAACTAGCATGATTTTAAAAATCGTTTTAATTAAAAATGTAATTTTAATCCAAATCCGTTTTTATACAACCCACAACTTTCAAGGTTAAATTAGCCGGGTATAGTGTGTTTTGAAACTATAATAGATTCGGATTTTCTGTAAAAGTCACAGTGTTGCCAACTCCTTTTCTCATTTTTGTGGATCATTTGAGTAATTTCAGCCTACTCATACAATATTATTTATTATTATTGTGCCTACTCACAACAATGTTCGTACAAGGTTATAGTCTTTAAAGATTATTCGGTTTTGATTTAAAGATCAATAAATCACGGGCATTAAGAACATAATTAAATACTCACAAAGTACAAACATTGTTATCACAATAAGCAATATAATTTAAAAAAAAAAAAATTATAACTCTTTCTGTCGTAAGAGATAGCGTGTTTTGGTATTTCGTATTAAAAAAAAAAACAACGTAAAAGATGATACTGTCTTAAAAACGATTCCGTTTTTCAAACTGTTTTGATATTATGTTACACTGTTCTATATTTGTTACATAAATTGTGACACAAATAATTCAACAAAAAAAAATTACATCTAAATGGGTTAAATAATTATAAAAAAATCCTTAATCGTAGAAAAAAATTGTTATTTACAGTTTTAAAACTTAAAAAAAAACAACAAAGTTGTTAAATACAAAACTGTATTAATATCTGATACACGAGCTCAGTACACACTGCCGATCGATCGCTTTCGTGACGTCTTATCAAATTAGTTCTGATAACAACTGATAATATTTGATAACACTATGTTTACCGTGGTTATGGTATAGGTAAATACCAACGCATTGAGTTGATAAAAAAAATGATTTACATTTCTGCAGTCAAGATGGCGAATTTCAGCTTTGTTTGTTATCTCTGTAGTTGGCAATCTATACAATTTACCTTTGATGTTTGATATAAACTATTTCTAAGATGATTTTCATTGTTGTCATTAGTATGATAACACGTTTTCCGTGTTTTAATAATAATATACTGTTATAAATAATCATTTTATTTACCTGTATTCATTTTTAATGAAGCTTATAATTATGACCTAAAGTCCGTTTATTTTTTATAATTTACCAATAATTATTTGTTTTCGTATATTGCAGTATTGCTTTAAAATAAGCACTGAAATTTGGATGTAAAAAAAAATGACGGTATTTCCGCTGCAGTGAGAAGGCGAAATGTCCAATCTCATCTAAGGCCAAAGATTAAACAATTAGTATTTCTTTCTTAATTTTTATCAGCTCACGTCTAGGGCCTTCGCTCAAGTTCCGCTACGACTCTCCTCCACCTTTTTTAGGTTCTGGGGCTTACATTAACGGTGAGCATAGAGTTTAGTGTTGAATATTGTATTAAATTTAAATATTAAATGTGCGTTTTCCGAATTTTCTTTTCCACCTCAATTTTCTCTCTGGTAGATTTTCTGACAGACACTTGCGTAGGTATTTGGTTATTTTTTCTGTATATATTTTTATTTTTTATTTTTTTTTTTTCTGTTAGCGTTCGCCCGAGACGACGGACTCTCGGGACCATATATAATATAATAATATAATACCGAAGAACCGTCGTCAAAGCCAATATCTTTCAGTGGGCCCGTCATAATGTGCGATGCGCGAACAATGAGCTCTATTCAATTGCTCCGGATCGACCCGATTGGATTTTTATTATATTGTTTTACCGGTTACACTATAATAATATAATATAATATTACAATAGTGTTTGACGGTGGCGGCGGCGACGATGGAATGGCAATAGAGTCGACAATATACATTATACCGCATAATATAAATTATTATCGCCTGTACTCTATTAATTTTAATCTTATCCGAAACCGCTGTACGACGACGTGTCTAGCTCCACGAACTCGTAAAATAATAATATTATTACCAACAACAACCGGTAAAACTAATAACGACACGCCGAGGCGTCGGAAAGAAAAATAAAATAACAACGGACAGGTACACTTCACAGTGTATTCTTAATCAAGGCGCGGTATGATGTACCACGGTGTTGTCGGACAGGTGCGATACACCTCTCCTTGTTCGGCCATCAATGATTTCACGGTATTGATGATAATAATGTTACAAATTAACATCACAATGTGTTTATTAAACAACCGTCGTTCGCCCTTTTTCCGACTTTTCATCGCGGTTTTCCTAAATTATATATATTTTATCGCGTGCATAATTTACGGGTTGAATAGTAGACATTCTACTATAGTATGTATCTGTGTGTGTGTGTACCAACGGGGAAAAAATTAATTTCATATTCAATATGTGCGGCTAAACAATATAATAATATATTGTGTACGATATGCTGCGCGAGACCGTGTTCTTTACGGATTTCTTTGTAAGCACACACACACACACACAACGTTTGCTCGCATGCATTGTCTTATGGAAATCAAGAATGCCGCTCGTCTTGCCTTTTAATTTCGTCGTATAAAAATTCGTGCGCCGATTTTTCGTGTGCCCTCCCTCGACCTTGCTTCGGTTCGGTGTCCGTTTCTACTCGTGATCTTCGCTGGACCCCCAAGGCCGGGTTTCACCGTCGGACACGGGTTCACGGTGTAGTAGATTTACAAACAAACTAAAAACACAAAAAAAAAGTCAATAGTATTATTATTCTATTTGCCGGCGTATACGCGTCCGGATCCTCCCGATCGGATGTGCAGCTTTTCCGGTCAGCTCCGCGGCCGTCGGACCGTAAACACATACTATGATTTGTCCGGCTAGTTTTTGATCAGCTACAGTTGTCAGTGGGGATCGTTGGTGTGCGTACCTACGTGCCATGCACCGACAGCGTTTTCTGTAAATCGTCTGGTTCCAATATGACGTTTTCCAAACTGGTAGGGTTTTACCTATGTTGCTCTGGGTGTTGACCACGCGAGGAGGGATGCGGCATCGTAGCCGTTGGCCGGGCAAGTCCAGACCCTTCCGAAGTCCGCGGGAGCTTCAAAAGGGTCTGAACTCCACCCAAAGGCTGAGATTAACGTTGCTTTTTTTTGTTTGTTTTTTATCTGTTTCTTCAGTGTGTCTGTTTTTGCCCCGACAGGACGCTTTGCGGAAACGGAAAGAAGAAGAGGACAGGGTCGCCCAACAAAACGAATTTCTCAACCGGTCGCTGAGGGGATCGAAAAAGCTTCGGGAACTCGAACACGAGCCACCGGAAACGGGTATCGTCAACGACGGGTTTTCGTCGGAACACGATGACGCCAGCACCGCGGCCACGCCCACCGTCACCGCGGCCACCACTACCACGGTGGTCACCACGGAAGAATACCAAGAACCGTACGAACCGATCTACAGGGTTGTCGGTGAGTGCGCGCGCTCTGTTTTTGCTAACACCTCGCCCCCTTGTGGTGTCCGGCCCAAAGGGACTCGAGGAATAATGATAATAATAATAATAATATTGTCGGCGTGTCCCAGTCGGAAGTGAACGGATAATAAATGGAATGCCGGCGGCGGCGGCGGCGGCGTCGTCGAACTCGGCATTCAGGTCACGTACGTTTGGGCTCACTGGCAGCAGCAATAGGTATCGCACACACATAGTGTTGTACCAACACACGCACGCCCCGCGCATATAACACGACCTGCTGTCGCCTGCACTCGTGTGACGATAATATTATGGTTGCCGCAGAGTTATATGTGTTATTTATTTTGTACTCTGGTGGCACACATATTACGCGTCGTGGACTTTTGTGCGCAGCCGGCCGCCCGGGACGACGTCCGACGCGCGTTTCGCTCGATTGTTGTTGTTGCATTATTATTTCCACGTCGTTGTTGCAGGGTACGGCGAACTGATAGCCGCGCTGCAGAGGGTACACTTGCAGTTGAAAAAGAACGGCATTTACATCGGCAACAAGTCCGACCCGGACGTGGCCGTCATCCAATGCTTGTTGCTGAATCCGGAATTCGTCCGCGTGCTGTCCGTGCACAACAAGGTGCAACAGTTGTGGCCGCCCAACACCGCGAAGCGGCCGGCGACGGCGGAAGCGCAAAACCTGGTCCGAGACGTGAGTGTGATATCCAAGGGCGGACACCACCCTGATCAACGCTCTCTTATCTATACTCGCTACTATCATTCCGTTTTTTTTTTGTTGTTGTCGGTGCTTTGACGACAGTGTCTGGAGGACATCCAGAACTGCACGTTGTCCGAAGCTTCGGAGCTCGCCAAGCTGCTGTCTCAGTACGAGATCGAAGGAGTTCTCTGGGCACACGACACCGTCGCGCAGGACGTGCTGCCGCAGGCCGAGGCGACTACCGAGATGACGGTCACGTTGCCGATCGGCGACCTCTCGACGTACGCCTCGTCGGATCAACACCCTGCCAACATCACCATCATCAACATCGAGAAGACCAACGAGCCCCTGGTGAGTTTCGCCTCTTGTTTACACCTTTTTAGTGGGTTTTTTTTTTGTAACAATGCCCACGTTATTGTTGTCAATTAGGGCGCGACCGTGCGAAACGACGGCGACGCGGTGATCATTGGCCGAATAGTCAGGGGCGGCGCGGCCGAAAAGAGCGGACTGCTTCACGAGGGCGACGAAGTGCTGGAAGTAAACGGCGTGGAAATGCGCGGCAAGTCCATCAACGATGTCTGTGATATCCTGTCGGTGATGACCGGACCTTTGACGTTCATGATCGTGCCGAGCGCAAATCGAATTTCGTACCAGAACTCCAACGGAAACAGGGAAAACTTCATTGTAAGTTTTCATTTTCAACGTTGTCGCCAACCGCACTGATTGTTCGTACCGCGTTTTGTTTGTTTGTTTCCCAGATGCACATGAAAGCGCATTTCGATTACGACCCCGAGGACGACGGGTACATTCCGTGCAGGGAATTGGGTATCAGTTTTCAAAAGGGGGACATCTTGCACGTGATATCGCAAGAAGACGCCAACTGGTGGCAAGCGTTCAGAGAAGGCGAAGAAGACCAAAGTTTGGCCGGTCTCGTACCCAGCAAATCGTTCCAACACCAGCGCGAGGCGCTCAAGCAGACCATCACCGGCGACAAGCCCAGCAAGGACAGGCCGAAAAAACAGAGCACGTTCCTCTGTGGCAAAAAGAACTTGAAGAAGAGAAAGAAGAAGTCTCTGTACCAAGACGGCGGTTACCCAATATATTCGTCCAACTCTGACGGTAAGCGCGGGTCGGCAGTGAAGTTTTTTAGGCCTTCGGGCACCGTCTTACGAACCGTTTGTCGATTTTACAGAATACGAAGCCGAGGAAATCTTAACGTACGAAGAAGTGGCTCTGTATTACCCCCGGGCGAACCACAAGAGGCCTATAGTACTGATCGGTCCGCCGAACATCGGTAGACACGAGCTCCGGCAAAGGCTGATGGAAGACCGGGAGAGGTTTGCCGCCGCCATTCCTCGTGAGTAGAAGAACCCGTCTGAGGAGTTGTGGCAGGACGCCCAAGTTCCGACGTTAAAAAATAATAATAATTATCAATTTTCAGACACCAGTCGAGCCAAGAAAGACGGCGAAATCGACGGTCAAGACTATCATTTCATCACCAGAGCCCAGTTCGAATCGGATATCCTGTCCAGGAAATTCGTCGAACACGGCGAGTACGAGAAAGCGTATTACGGTAGGCGGCGCGGTCAAGACCAAGGGGAGGTTTTAAGTGTGTGTGTAATAGATGTTGTTATCGTTATTATTGCGCCGCAGGTACCTCGTTGGACGCCATTCGGTCCGTGGTCAACTACAGCAAGATATGCGTGTTGAATCTTCACCCTCAGTCTCTGAAAATCCTCCGGAGTTCGGACCTGAAACCGTACGTCGTGTTCGTGGCACCTCCGTCGTTGGAAAAACTGCGACAGAAGAAATTAAAAAACGGCGAACCCTACAAAGTAAGTGCGCAGCACGGCTAGATCTTTCCATTGTTCCAATCTCGTCCTCTCTCTCTTATTCCAAGAGTGATCGAGCGCGGTCCGTGTAAAGTACGGTTCGAAAAGGAAAATGGAAATAGATGAAATAGACGAGTGGAGTGAGACTAGGCGAGGAGAATCGTAACCTGTTGATAGCAGAACAAGCGAGAGAGATGGTTTTGGCAAAGTATGGATACATTTTAGGCGTGCCGTCTTTAAATATGTCGAGAGAGAACAAATTGAGAAAGTGACACGAAAAGAGAGCAAGATTGATAAGAATAGGAAGTAGTATGAAGATAATGGATGTGCGTGATGATCAGATCGATCGAGCGAAGGTTAACGACTAGGATGGCCGACTTCGAATAGTTTAAAAGTGAGGCGAGGGAAAGAAGAAGAAGCTTTCGACTTCACACGCACCTTGACATCCTTATTTCCTTTACGCTTAACTTTGTATCTACAGTTCAATCTATATTTTAGGATAAACTAGATTAGTTTTGGTTAGGGTTGTACAACATTTTGGTTCTAGTTCACTGGAAATGCTAGGTAAAAGAGATAAAAGAGATTTATTAGGTTAGGTTGATGATTTTTGGGTACAGAGACCCTTTATGATTCAAACATGGACGGAGAAAGGTTAGAATAGGGGTAAGTTAGTCGACCTCGATATTTGGCTTATCTATTTAATCTACTATGGTTTAAATTATACATAATTAGTACTGACATATTTAAGTACAATGATAAAAAAAGGTGTTTACAATCTCAGTTTCTTTATTGGATTTTAATTGATTAAAATACAACACTTATCTGTAATAGAATTATTAAGGCCGAACGAGGTATAAATTGAGACAAATTAAATTAAATAAATTCTAAAAAATATACACAATTTTAAATTATTCAAGTAATTTATTTATATTTTTTCGGTTTTAAATGCACAAACAATTATTTCTTATTTATTTTCGTTTTTCTTTTCTTTTGTAGTAAAAATTATATTTTTTAAACACCTAACTAAAATTGTTTTACTAAAAAATGATGAAATAAAATTGATGAAATGTCTTGGCCACAATCGTGTGTGTTAGTAAATGTATGCAAACTAGTTGAGATTAAATTTTTGTTTAAAAGAAAAAATCAATCTTTTCTTTGGAGGAAAGACAATGGATATGCTTATTATCAGCCGATTCTTTTATCAGTAATCCAAGAATTATTGAGTTCTTATCACAAACTCATCCATCTATTACATCCCGTCCCCTTTGTGTCCCCCCCACATCATTTTTTTTTATATTTGTGTCACTACAACAACCTTGTGATATAAAACATATTGCTGATCAGTCATAATATTATCACATGTAATTTCAAATTTATCCATTGATCCGTTATATCATAGAGTAATACAGAGGAGACGTTCCATCAGAATATCGATTCGAGCAAGGTTGCGATTATCAGTGCAGCCACATTAGGAAAAAAAATACCATGTCCATACGATAATTGGTTAATAATTGTGGCGACACTACTTGTGTTATCATTTAGTGTTACTTGTCGCCACGATTTAAGATAATACTATAGGGAACGGTTTCTCTATAAAACTCTATGATCCGTTTAGCAGTGTTTAACAACTTTCGAACAACAACAAATATTTATTTTTATTTAAAGCAGTCACACTTGGATTTCTTGATTACTTTGTGGCTGTGCACAAGCCGCGGCATTTTAATATGTGTTGTATTTTTATCCCAACGGCCTACGTTTGTCATGTGTTGTGTGCGTTTGTTTTTGCAGGAAGAAGAGCTGAAAGAAATCATCGAAAAGGCTAGGGAAATGGAAGACAAGTTCGGCCATTATTTCGACATGATCATCATCAACAACGACACCGAAAGAGCGTACCATCAACTGGTGAACGAGATCAACAGTCTGGAACGGGAACCGCAATGGGTGCCGGCCACTTGGGTGAAAACCGCATCATAGCGCTGTTAAAGTCTCTCTTTTCACAATATTTAATTGTTATCATTATGTGTCGGTATCGATTTGCGATTGCCGCAACAAATTTACAACCTTTTTTTTTTTTGTATGATAATTTTTAAATTATAAAATATTATTGCAACGCACTTTGTGTGCGTTGACCACCTAGTTGACTGATTTGAAATGATAATAATTTTGAAAAAAAATTTACCTTCAAACAAACCACTCTAAAAGTTAATAAAAATTGTATAGGAATCGGAAAACCAGAGCTTCCCGCTTATCGTTCCGACATATCGATAATAACGATGATATTAATTACATAATATTGTTTTGTTGTAAGTACCTTAAAAAAAAAAAAATTTAAACCCTTGCACGGGCGATAGAATTTTGTTTTGTATAGATTACAATTAGGTTAAAAATGTATGGAAAAAAAAAACAAGTAATGTGATATAATATATTATTACGCGTAATAATATATACTTTGTGTATAATATTTTTAATAATAATAATATAATAATATGTAAAACCGTAATTTTAATATAAGAATAGGTACGATGATGATTAAGATGACTAGTGAAGAAAAAGCCATCGACTTTGCCATTTTTAGTTTTATAATTTATTATTGTATTCAAAAAGTTGAAAAAATTTGTATTATTCCCTTCGCGGTGTGCGCGTAGCGCTTATCGTATGAGACCGTTGTTTTTTTTTTAATGTACTTTTACATTGTGTTTTATTAATCTTTTGTTTATTTTTATTTTGTGTTTGTTTGGTCTTGTTGTACAACGTTTTTTTAAAAAAAAAAAAAACCCCTTCATGGTATATATTAAAAAAAAAGCAAAACTCATACATTTTTTAGAGTAGTCCCCCTTGTACCGACAATTTAGACACCGTAAACTATACATAACATGATGATACGGGTATCGTTTAAGGGTTAAGGGTTTTTACACGTTTTCCGGGTCTTTTTATAAAATAATAATATATAATATTATTACTCGACACGTTATACACAGACGGTTTTCTTAGGGGACCGATGTGGCGTTTCACGTTTTCCGTAGATACGTTACGATGGTAACATTTGAGTTTTTTAATAGTTTTCTTATTAATTTTTTGTTGTCTAAAGTATTTTTACCTTATCGTCGATACAATACAATATCATCGAATACATCTAGATAAAACAATTTCTGTAATTTTCCGTTTATATATTTGTCGTAACTAATTTTTCGGCGTTTTTCACGGGCCCGTTCGTTCTACGTAATAATAAAATATATTCATTATTAATATTATGATATTTTTCTTTGTATCAACTCCTCCGACTCTCGACTTTCATTAGTATTATTATTATTATTATATTATATATATATATATATTGATTGTTTTTTTTTTTGTTATTATTTAAATATTGATTATAAAAAAAAAAGATATGTACATAATTATACGTGCGCACTAAGTCGTATGTAAAATGTATTATATATATACATAAATTATTTGATTTAAAAATTAACATTATTTTTCGTACACACAATTATTAATTATTATTATTATTATTTTAGAATATCTATATATATATTATATACGAATAAAATTCAGCTCAACGTATTTAAATGTTTTGCGGGTTACTTTTTTTCCCTTATTTCCACCTGATATTTTTAAAAGAACATAATAATCGTTTAATACTAATCAATATACTACGAAAAAATGTTTGCAATAGTTGCTGTTAAATCACATCAAAATTATTTTCAAAGAAAAAGTGTCGGTTTTATATTTATCCTTTTTTTTTTTTGTAGACAATCTAAATAATAGAAATTGTTTGACAAAAGTACTTAAACAGGTTATGTAAGTCGATAGAGTTTGACAAATTCCTCTTGGAAAACGAATGAAACACAATTGAAAAATTTCCACTAAAATTACACCTAATTTTAACTAATTACATTTAAAAACAAATAAACATTTTAATAGTTGATTTTGTCTTTGTTTCGTTCGGTTAAAGTTAGGCTATATCGTGTCAGTTCTCAAAATTAATTGATTTACCCAATTTGATGTATATTCGGATTTGGAATTTATGATCTAAATAGTGAAAATTCGGTTATTTAAATTTTTTTTATAACAATATAGACAAAACGGTATTATGTATCTGCCTCAATTGGTAATTTTTTTTTTTTTTTTAATGTAATATGTCCATCGTTTAAACACCAATATTAAACCTTTACAGCTGTTATTATCTCGAGGTATGCACTTTAATGGGATGTTATTGTACTGGCAACTGTACAATTGAATTCAATTTCCCAACTGTGCATATTTAGACTGTGATATAATGTGTGCGTGAGAGGCAAAATCGTAAAAATAAATTTAACAACAAAATCATCTACCGACATTGATAAAAAAAAAAAAATAAAATAGCAGGTTCAGCGCAGACATTAATTATTATTAGGCAAAAAAAAAAAAAAACAGTCATATTAACGCTCTTCTAATGGGTCAAGGTCGACACGGCTACCGTTTGCAAATTGGATGCACACAAAATTACATGTTTACAATAATGAGCTGCTTGTCGACAAACGCATTAAAACAAGTAAAATTCAAATATAAAAAAAACCATTACAGGAAGGTCAGAGGTTTATATAATTAAAGATTTTTGTTACAACCTCAAGTGGTAAAGTCGCTCAAGCAGGGTTGCCAACTATCAAATTTAAAATAACCGGCTTTAAATACATTTTATATATTAAATATAAAATATTTTTAACTTACATTGGTTATAACATTTAGAAATAAGAAAATTATTATCATACAAATAAAATGTATACCTAATCATTATTATTTTGTCATTATCAAATATTATTTATGAATAATGGACATGTACGTCTGGAATCAGCTGCTGTCAGTCGGCAGCTCGGCACTGGGCAGTCGTGCAGTGCTACCATCTGACAACAAAAAAGGTTATTGCATTAACAACTTGGTAGAAAAGTATAATAAAAGTATAATGATAAATCATTGACAACATACATTTATTTATGAACAATAAAATAACCGGCCTTTTTATATGGCCGGTTTGATGCAAAACCGGCAGCCGACCTAGGTATTAAAAAACCGGTTAGGCCGGCCAAAAACCGGTCGGTTGGCAACCCTGCGCTCAAGCTTATTTAATACATGTTATACAGCTTGGCATGAACAGAGCTGTCTTCGGTGTAATTTTCAGTTTTTAAGTACATCAAAATTGCGGCAAACGCAGACAAAGAAATGTAAATATTTTTCCGTTTATTAGAAAATACTAGTTTGGGTATAGTAGAATGTACAAGTATGTATATAGCCTAAGTCCGATTGCACATATTACAATAATTGTTTCAATGTGTTTAAGTGTTTGGACGTCAAAGGCGAACCGGCACAACTGGTTTTTTCGAACAAAAAGGTTTTCACCGCTTACAAAACGATTAAACAACGCAATGTTTTAATTAAAAAAAAAAAAACCATTTATTTCTGTATGTGGAATTATTCCATTATCAGTTTTTGACCGGAGAACAAAAGTTCTCGAAATGTATCCTTAATAAACGTTTAATGTTATTTCAACGTATAAAAACCGAAAAAAAAATATATATATACAATTAGGTAATATTTATTAAATTATAAGTTCATATTATTTTTCCAGGTTGAGGGGCAAGTGCCTATCTGATGAGCATTTTATTATTTAAATAATTACTAGCATAATAATATGATAATGAACGTTGCAAAACCATATAAACGTATGCGTTTTCGGTTTGTTTGTTATTATAATAGTGTTACTCAATACGTTATAAAAAAAAAAAAAGAGTATAAAATTAAACCGATTTTGAAGGTTAAAAACAAACTTCTATACCTACTTGTAGATGTGTTGTACATAAATTAAGACTTTTATGAATAATCGTTACACAATATATGTTTTTTTTTTTACAAAACATATAAGTATAACCCTCAGCTGGTATAAAATATTTGACCCATCAGAGAGGATATCTCGCACCGATGAGTTTATGTTTTTTTTCTTACAGTGAATTATCATCGTTACTGTCTTTACGGCGATGGTTTTGTCTAATTAAGAAAAACAATACTCATTACATTTATTATACGTTATAAGGTCACGTTTGGTTTATTTATTGCCAAAGACCAACATTTGTTTAGAGTCTTAATTCGTTAATATATTTTGTTTTACATTGGAACACATTGCGATGCGACGGACATAGTATTACAATTAAACGCGATATTATTCATTAAAAAAAAAAAAAACCAATATCATAAGCACAATTAATTAGGTAGAAGATACCTATTGTGTTTTACTTGGGGCGATTTGTTACTTTTTGGTTTTTCAACTGGACGAGCACGTGCCAGCTGTTGTGAAATCAAATTCCTCTTCCAACACAAGTATTTGAACAATTTAAACGACCATTCCGGTCGTTAATCTCCACCATGACATAATATTATTAAAAATATGTACAGGTAACACATCAATATATCTAATTTTGTTGTTACACTACCGGACTGACAATTGTTTATTTGAAAATAATAATAAATACAAAAAAAAAAAAAACAGGTAACGATATCAAAATATGTATTTTCAAGCACACTACTATCGTTGTATCATTAGGTCGACAGCGATTTTATCGAATAAAATATTTGTTTATTGTTTTGAATGGAAAAACAATCGACTATTCAGATTTTTTATACACTCAGACATGGTTTAATTGATTTTTTTTTTTTCTTTAATTCTTATGAAAATATTTAAAAAATTATTCGAAGCGTTGTGACGATGACATTGTCCATTTTTTTTTTTTTATACTACGATGCATTTTACTGGATTACCGACGATATTGCCGTACATTTTTTGTATGCACGTTATTTATTATCATATGTGAAAATTTGAAAATCTCATCCATTACAGTGGCATTGGAAGTGTATCCAAGTAATACATATATATATATACCATCAAACGCATTGGAGTTTAAGCTTGTGTCCAGAATAGATAGCCTCTGCCGAGGACAAGAGGCGATGAGCCAATATATATAGATATTATTAGGGCTTTTCTTCTGTAATGACTTTTAAACGATTTATCCGGTTTGTCTGTCATCGGTAAACACAATAATACTCGTTGAAAAAAAATATGCTCATAATACGTCTTATTACACACTATTATTATTATGACGTGTATTGTGGATACAAATTAAAATTTGAACAATTCATTCAGCGACCTCCCGGCGCTTATTATACCTATGTGTGTACACGGCTGTTTCTGTTTTTCTCTCACTGTGTGCATACTTGTACATTGTGATTAATACTTAAGGCTTGTCGCCGAGATAATTAGGTGTTTCATAATGAAAACAGTATAATATAATAATACCGTCGTTTTCGAGTATGCCGTCACACGGTAATTCCACGTGCACACTTTGAGTCATGTTTTTAACGAATTAAAAAAAAAAAATAACGTGTAATCGTTCATGGGTAAACCAGATTTTTTCCAACCGCCCAACAAAGCCTATTTTACCATGGCTATGGTTACCGAGGTTACCACGGTTGTGGTTATAAAGTTAACCACAATAATTGTTACATACGTTCTCGCGGTTTTAGTTACCATTGTTGTGGTTACCAAGGATCAGAGAATTTTGTTTGCAAACAGATGATCCGGTAAAATTGCCCATTTAGACGTAGCTCAAAATTTTCAAAAAATGAATTTTATTCCAAAAATACCACACCAATATGCCTGTTCACCCTTTTCAGTCATATTTGGGAATAACAATATGAGAACTATGTACAATACGTGTTCGGAATTGAGGACCGAATAAATAGTACTAGTAACGTTTAAAGGATCTATACTATCGTTTTAACACAACATATTGTACAATCAATTATTATCGTTTAATTATTTTGTCCAAATTGGATTGTTATTCTGAACGTCTTAACGTTTTGCCGTGAAAAACCGGACTAGGTTGGCACAGCTTTTTATGATTTTAATTTTTTCACATTATTGTATTTCTCGCAAGAACGACAAAAAACGAATCGTCAGCGGAAAACAATTTGTAGGGTCGTGTTAAACGTCAGCGAAAACCATTAGCTCCAGACTCGCCAGCAAACATGTCCAGGTTGCCACAGAATCCACATGGTGTATACATATATCTATTATATTGTATTTGATTTGTCGTACAACTAATAAAACACAATTCAGCATAATTGTATTATCTGCAGGACAATAGATTTGATGACGGTAATCGGTTAGTGATCTAAATATGATATTCAAGAAAAACGCCTCGACGCTAATTTTATCCGTAGTAAATTATTATTATTATTACACATGTTTTTTTCACCGTCTTTTTCTCATCATACTCTATTAAAGTTCTTACTGTGTTACTAATTTGTCTAATGTGTTTTACGGCAGACCAAACATTCTGAATAAAAATATATCTACTTTTAATGTCTTGGAAAAATATCCTAAACTCCAAGTACAATAAAATACACGCTGCGTTTAAGTTAATTGATTTAAATATGTATTATCGACGTATAAAAAATGTACTATAAACACAACAAAATTAAAATACATCATCCGACAGGTTTGATTAAAAATTCCTCAGAAAAAACTGACAACACCAGTTAGGTAGGTATTCGTTTTTTGAAACAAAAAAAAACTTCACATTATATTCTTTTTATGTTGCCATCCTGCAACAATGTTCAACTTAAACGTTTTTTTTATTTTACTATATTTGTCATTATGACTTTCAAATTAAACATATTTTATTAGTCGCTAAATAATTATCGCTGTTTTTATAACAGTTCGTACCGATCGACTTAAACAAGTTCTGAAACTAAACGAATCGACGCGATAACCAATAATTGATACGATTGTGATAATACACCAAAAATTCTTAACGTTATGGCACAACATTTTTCATAATTGTGTAAATATTTACCAACGGTGTTATAGCACATTGCGTGTGTGTCCTTAAAAATGCATTCTACCTTTGCGTAGAACAAAATAAAAAACGTAAATATGCTTTTGGGTTACTTTATTCGACTAATTACTACTACACGAGTTAATGTTGTACCCGATAACTGCTATAATATGTAGCACTTTTAAAACAAAAATAGTCAAACAATTCAAACTACTACATATTTTGAATTACATCCTTTTCCTCGTTCCGCAAAAAAACGCGTATCAGTGACATTATCAAAACGGTGCGCAACAGGGTTGCCAACCGACCGGTTTTTGGCCGGCCTAACCGGTTTTTTAATACCTAGGTCGGCTGCCGGTTTTGCATCAAACCGGCCATATAAAAAGGCCGGTTATTTTATTGTTCATAAATAAATGTACGTTGTCAATGATTTATCATTATACCTTTTTATTATACTTTTCTACCAAGTTGTTAATGCAATAACCTTTTTTGTTGTCATATGGTAGCACTGCGCGACTGCCCAGTGCCGAGCTGCCGACTGACAGCAGCTGATTCCAGACGTACATGTCCGTTATTCATAAATAATATTTGATAATGACAAAATAATAACGATTAGGTATACATTTTATTTGTACGATAATAATTTTCTTATTTCCAAATTTTTATCAACCAATGTAAGTTAAAAATATTTTATATTTAATATATAAAATGTATTTAAAGCCGGTTATTTTAAATTCGATAGTTGGCAACCCTGTCAGACACTGTGCAATAACACCGCGCGTGTGTGTGTGTGTGTGCGTGCGATTATAGCGCTTATCGTGTGCGATTTTAGCGCGTTTACCGAAAACTAGTATACATATATATACATATATATATCTATATAGGTACGGTGATGGTAACATACACGTATTGTTATAGCTATACTTGTATTATTATATCATGTGTTACCGTTGCGTGGAAAGGAGAGACGGTCATCGCCGCCACCGCCACCAAGTGTGCTGCTGCCCGGCAAGAGAGTACCTGTATCACGGTCTGGAGTAGGCGTACTCGCATAGGACCATCGTGCACACGTTCACTTTCACTCGACCAAAAACACCGTACGGCAGCCGTTCAGTTGACCGCGTGCCTCGCCCGACGATCGGACCTAGGCCTCTGTGTGTGTTTCGCCAAGGTACCTCTCCTCACGTGAGTACACCGAAAATTGAGTTTCGAGACATTTTTGATTTTTTTCACACCCCCCCCCGATCTGTACCCCGGCAATGCCCCGGCTGATTTCATAGGTTACGATTTGTATTTTTCAGTTGATAACGACTAAGTATGAGAATTAGTTATAATCGAATTATTTATTATATATTTTAGCGTTTGAATTTTTTTTTTTTTAATTTTAAGCGTCACTTTCGCCGGTGACTTCTCTTACCGGACGTATATATATATATATATATATATATATAAAAAAAAAGTGTTTATAATATGTTTTTTCTGTATTTTGCTATCACTGGAAGCGGGCGGTTTTTTTAAGGAGTTTTTTATGGGCAATATGACTTAAGTAAGAAGTGGTTTTTTTTTAAAAATTTCGGTCGTGTCAATTATTTTTGTCAAAAAGCTCCAAGGTAGCATTTTTTATTTGTATAATTTGTTCTACGAGCAAAAGCCTTTTATGGTTTATTTCAGACCTAAAAGCCTGACAAAACTACTTAGAATAGTAATAATGATTTATTTGTATAGACTACTTAGAACGATTAGATTACAATTTTGCAAAGAGATTCTAGTTATTTGACTACTCTACTAGGTTTTTTTTTGTAGTATAAACCGATTTTCATTGAATGAATTAAAAACAATTTTTTACATAAAAAATCCGTTTCCGACATAACTTTGTAAAGTAAGCCAAAGAACTCATATCTCTTTACAGAATTGCAATCAAACCATCTTGAGTAGTATTTCTTCAAGCACCTGGTATAATTCATAAAATTAAATAAATTTTGAATTTTTTTTACAGTCAAAATATACAAACCCATCTAAAATGTTTAATATAAATACAATGTATATTATTAATATATTAATATATTAATTAATATAAATTTGTATAAATTATTGTTTGTATTGATATATTAATGTTATTATTATTCATAAAATATAAAACAATTTCTTTTTATTTTAAAATATAAACTAAAACCTAAGTAAACTTGCCGCCAAAATGTGTTTTATGGCGTACACAACCTGCATGTCTCTATTTTTTTATGGAAATTTAAGGAAATAAAACAATATTAAATATCATAGTAGTTATATCCATATGGACGAATCTTAGAAAAGAAACCCGTTTGAATTAGACTATGCAAATTTTGGAAATTAAAAAAAAATTCGTAGAATGTTAATTTTTATTTTACTAAAAACGTTACTTATTTTGAACTAAATAAATTTTAACTTAATGTAACTATTATTTGTTATATAAATATATTCCTAATTAGTATTTTAAGTTCAACGAGAACTGCGTTTACAGAAAACTGATAAAACACAATACCGCTTTACTAGCTACAAAAATCACTAAATTTGTAACTTGCAAGTTTCTTTTTTAACAATATTTTCTTAAATAGTGGGTTGCACATGAATCAAAATGTTTTCTAAATTTAAAAGAGTTAAACTTAGGTAAATCTTGGCCAGATTAGTAAAAAATTGATATCCAATGGAAGAATGTGAAAACAATTTGTTTTCAACTATACACAACCTTTTTGTGTTGGATTATTTACAAGATTAATAAAGCTGACGTTTAAAATCTTAGAAAAACAACCAAATGCTTGAAACTTGATGCTCTATGTTATTTTATGTGCAGGCCTTATCGTTAAATACTGTTGTTCAATAATCAGACTGAAACCTTTTAAACTCTTATAGCAAAATTATAAAATTTAATTTATATTGTAAAATAAAAATAATATTCAGTACTATTTAATTAATGTACTGTCAGTTTAAACACTTTTACCATAAATGTTTTTTTTTTTTATAACGTTGTCGTACAACAGTGTTACAAAATTAATAAAATAGAAAATTCTAAGTAGAAATTATGTTGATTTTTTTTTATTTAAAAAATTTCACCAACATAGTATGTTTTATTTGTTTACATTCGCCTAACTCTAGAGCTAGTAATGATAGGAACAACTGTTCCCATCAGCTTTATAAAAGTATAAAAATGTACTTGTTGAAATTATTTTAATAAAACATTATTTATACTTTTTAAAAGTTACTAAGGAATAATGTAACGCTTTTGGATAATTTTAATCATACGGTAATATCATGTAAACACACAATGCTCAGTTTCTATAGGTAGGTAAATCTATTATTATTGTGTTTGCCAGAGTGAATAATTGTACATTTAAAAACGTCCAAAACCGTTATTTTTTATAATGACTCAAAACTTGCTCCTATATTATTAAACACAACTACGACGGTCATTGATTTTCAAGAGTCTCGACGTTAGAAAGTGATTTTCTTTTATTACCTAACGGTTCTATAGTTTTGCAGTTTGTATGTTTTCTAATGGGTTTAATGTGAGCTCAGATGAGTCGTTTAATTTGAATCGACGAAAATTAAAATATGTTTGGGTTATTTCTAATAAAAAAAAAAAATATTAATAATAAAAGAGCAGATGTTCCCGATAGAAAGTGTTTTTCTAAATATATGTACATAACGGGATTGCCGGTTTATTTATAACTTTAATAGAAACTAAACTTCTTCAGTAGACAACTGTAATAAGCAATTGCCGGTTTGAAAATTGGCCGGATTTTAATCACCGTTGGTTATTGATATGTTTTTTTAACGAGCCAATAAAAAAATTCGAGACCAAACAAATCATTTTAATAAGTATTTAATGGGCTTCCTGTTACCGTTGACTACCGTTAGACCGGTCGGGTTAATATTTATAGCCGTATAAAAATTGATACACAAATGTCTGTTTGCATAATTTCACTGAAACAATAACAATCAGAGTTGCTTTATTTTTCTACCGATTGGACCAATCAAAGTACCGGATCAGATTGATTCTGTACTCGGAGCAACCTTTACAATAGCACATGAAATAAATTGCACATTACCGACCGTTTAAAAATGCATTATATTTTGCGGATTTTTTTTATAAAATGTAAACTAAGCCACTTTCTTCGAGAAATTTATAGTTGTTTGGTATTTTTTTTCTCAAAAACACAACTAGAATTGATACAATGTGCAAAAAATTAAATGGTAATGACATTAAAAAATCGAAATATCTATATTTACCGCATTGATAACAATATAGTCAATGTAGAAGTTATTTCCATGCCCCCCTTCCCCCCAAATAAAATTCTGTTTTATTCAGTTTGATGGCCAAAATTGAACAGCTAACAATCTAATTCAGTATATAATAATAACATGGCGTGTGTTCGGATTTGATATGATGATGATGAAACAGCGAGATCGTGATATGGTTGCAAACATTATAATTATATCTAAACACAAACCGTTATAATTATTATTATTTTTTTTTTTTTCATATAAATATTTCATTTAAAATCAAAATACGGTGTTCGGCGAGATGCCTCTGGGTTTCTTTATTCACTTGTGTATATAACAATGTATATAAATATATAGTTTAGTTAAGATGTAATCCGCCCAGTGTGAGTGTATAAATTATAATTGAAGTATAATATTAATAGTACATTGCAAAATTTTCAATTCAACACTCAAACGCGTTTGTACATATTTCGTGCAAAAGTGTACAATTGATTTAACGTCATTATTGGTATTTGCAAGTAAAAGTTTGCTCTTATTTTTCATAGCACACAATCCTATGGAATTGAGAGTCAAGAAATTGCTATAGTTATTGTTATTGACATTTTTTACAAAAACAATTTGAACGACAAAAATTCTTATTCGAATAATTTTTTTACAATTTATCTATATAAAAAAAAAGGGTTTCTATATTTACTGGTTTTCTATATTTTCTAAATGTAGAGTATATTAGATTTATGTGAAATAATATTTTCAAATATAATTATACAAAAAAAGCACTTACAAACTGTTTAAATACTTTATTATGCATTTGTTTAATTTGGAACGATAAAATATACTTTTACAATTAATGTTATTCGCTAAAATATCCTCCAAACGTGTTTGCTACCAAATTTCAATGATTTTTAAATAATAAATTCGATTCCATGTCGGTTGTAGGTGAGCAATTTAAAAATTAATTCAAGGTGTTATCATATTATATAGTTTGATAAAATGCATAATCATGTGGTTTACTCGAATGTTATTTCTTAACTAGGTTATATTATCATGTATGAGTTGTAAAATACAATTTTAATGAATTTATCCTTGTTTGTTTTAATGATTATTATTTAAAACATGTCATCATTATATGTAACGATATTATGTCAGACTTTATTATGTTATTTAATACTATATTGAAAAGAACCTTGTACTTGCGTGTACTTTTATTTAAAAAAAAAATTATAGTCTTGATCACCGTGTACAGTTTTTAATGATTTTTTTATAATATAAATAATTACCATCGAATAACTGTTGTCGTTTGTATTTTAAATACTATTGATAGATTTCTGAAAAATCCTGTTCCATAATATATTGAAACTAATAAAAAAATTATTCAAACAATGTTTAAGTACACAATAATTTAGTATTATTAATTATTACATGGCTAAAACAATTAAATAGTCTGTCTACATGTTAATAGAATATTTTTAATGCGAGATAAACACTGTCAACACTAGACCCAATTTTGTTCATTATTACAGCCTCGGATAGTAAAATTGTCAAAATTGATTTGAAATTTAATAATTGTCTTAACCATTTTCGGTAGCAAATACAAAAATTATATTATCCGTTATTTTGTAATAAGTATTTTTAGGCAACTTATACATGTGGGCTTAAGGGAGGCTCAGCCTTCCCCCGCAGTCCCCTTAAAATTGATGTTTCTTTAAATTGTTTTCCTCCCGGAAATTGCTATACATAAATATTTTCTAATAACAGAGATTGGATGGACCAAATCCTTTTAAATATCCAAAAGACCACTGAAAGAATAATTGTTGTTATGTGTATTGACAAGCATAATCGTCACGATGGCTACGACCTCACCAAAATTTGACCTCAGTTGCCCTAATGTCTGTAATAAGTATAACCAATTGGTTTTGGAAGTAATTACAATATTCAAATTACTGTGATTTTTTTCATAAGATTACATTTTTATCTAAAATCATATTTATGCTCAAGGTTACCTATAAACTATATACCTGGCTTTCCTTAACGAGTACTAGGTCAGTGGTGCGCGTACTTCACCTAACAACCGCTTCTGACATTATAATGCTTGTATTTTAATTGTAAGGTATTGCCCTTTAAATCTATCTCGTTTTTTAGTTTAACTTAAAAAAAACCTGCTGGCATCGGTAGAGGACTGGTTGAATTCACCTCAAAGCAAAATTGACTTTTTGGAAAGAAGAAACTTTATGTTTAAATAAAAAATAACCTGTAAATGAATGACATTGCTCTATTCAAAATTGTAAAATGATCATCGTTTAATGTGTAACTTAGTGTTTGATCATAATATTATGTTATTGACTTTGTTTACTTTTCAACTACAACAGTTATCTGTAGTTTTAAAATACATACACAAATTAACAAACGGTAATTTAACAATTATTTAAAATTGTATTTTGACCGGTCTCCGGTCTTTGTTGTGTAACTATAATTAAAGCCTGTCTAACCTCTAGAATCATTAATCAAAGTTTAGAAATCAAAATAACATTTCATTTTTAAATAAAAGTACCAGGGTATTTTTGTAAATCGTGCAGACGTTAGTTTATATTATAGTGACGGTTTAAGTAGATTTCATAACAGAAATCAAATTTGGAAAAAAAAAATGTTTATGTTTTTAAAAGGTACAATAAAAAATAACACAATTTGCCAAAAATATACTCTTAGACTACTTTTACTTAGACTGAAAATTGTCTCAAAAAACTATGATAATTTTTAATATTTTATGCGTTTTTCAATGGAGTTTTTAACAACTGTTTACCTGTATAAGTAGCAAATTATGTTTAATTTTGTTATTTTTCAAAATATTTTACACCATTTTTAAAATTTTTAAGTGTCATTTTTTTTTTTTTAAACAAAGTTAAAGTCATATATTTATTGACAATATTTATGTTTTTCAACTGATTTTTATCAAAAATAACCTACGTTTTTAGACTAGAATTCCGAGTGCAAAAAAATCTTCTACGATTTGACATGATAACAAATTACAATGAAACTCCATTCATAAATGTTGTATTCATTTCAAAAAACCATTGTTCTCAGATCATTATCAAGTCAACGTTGCCATTGTGTACAATATAATATCATTAGGCCTATCGTTGTTCCGTTCCGGCGGTATTGCGTAATATTAAAAAACAAAAAAAAATCATTAAATACTCAAAAAACTTTAAGTATAGAATTTCAGGGGAAACCGCCTGAACGGAACCGCCTAACGCTGCTCGTTATCGTTAGAATTTAAGTGCGATTATTTTGTTTTTTTTTTTTATTGCAGATTTTTTTGAAAATGGCAAATTTTTTTTTTTTACAAAAATATTTATATTAATTTTTTTGGCCTAAGCACGGGCAAACGGTTCTTCTCGATATCGAAAACGTAATGAGGTAACGACGTATAGGTCAAACCTTGACCCGGTTTTAGATTATGGCGTCTTACATCACGATACACAACCGGTACCGGTCGGATAGGGAATACACGTTGTGGCCTCCCATACGGCAACAAACTTGCATACACAGTGTAGGGTACGATTTCCTAGACTTTCAAAAAGGTCAAAAAAAGTACATTACCTTGAAAGTTAAAAAAAAAATTAAAAAATTTTAAAAAAAGTACTTGTAAATAGGTATGGCCACGTCAAGAGTATTTTTGACGGATCATTTATGCGTTGTCAACGTGAAACTTGAAATAAAAAATAAGTTTCTTCCTCGAAGGAAAAAAAGAAATGTGTTCATGACTATGTCTTATGGTACCCACGAGAAGGGATTTTAGTACCTATACAACAGATAAACCGCGTCAAATATGCCATTTGTCTTATTTGATATTATAACAACAACAATCATAATAATAAAACCCGACAGTAAATAGTAATAGTAGAAGCTAAAATTAATGTTTAAAAAGTGACTGATTTAGGCGTCGAATGCATTATCGTGGCCAAAATCAACGATACCAATTTAGGGATTCTCCCTCTCTCTAAATACAAGTCCCTCCCTTATCTCCCTCTCGATTTTGTCACTGATCTCTTATCATCAGCTGTCTCTTATCAGGAGCCATTGTCAGATATCTCTTATCACTATCGGAAAGGTCAGGTTGGGTTTGCGTCTCGATGCGTGATATATTCATTTGGATAATGTTTTTATATAATAATATATGTATTTTTTTATCATTTCAATGACGAAATCCTAAATGGACGTCACCAGGTTTGTTTCTTTCAATCTGTAAAAAAACAATAAAATTACAACATGGGCGCTGTTGACGATCAACTTCTAGCTTGGGGCCAGGATTCAAAATAATATATACCATCACAACAATAAATAATAATTATTAGGTATAAAACAAATCGAAAATTGTCTTACATTACCGTAGTGTGTTGTAATCATAATGTCCGATCGTAAAAGTCGTCTTTAATTGATTTTCTTAGTATATTGAAACCTGAAGGTAACATATTATAGTATTAAAAATATTATGATATAGGTTCAATAGTTTATTATTCCTATAGAAATATTTATAGTTGCTTAATAGACGTATAAAATAAAATAAACGTCTAAACATTACAATTTAAAAAAAAAAAGCTGTGTGGGTCACGGGATCCCCGGCAGAAGCTATGCTTGTAATTTAGAACACGCGAATCATACGGTTACTATGGTTACCGTGGTTACCATGGTTACAAATTAATTATTAATTTTGGGTTAGTAACCAAAAATAAATATATGTAACATAATAAATCTAACCCGAATATGATAATAGATTTATATATTATGTTATCATAATCAGATTGAATGCTTAAAGTCACTTTCGACTTTGCAACTCGACCAAAGTTATTTTTTGTAATGCCAAAACTTTTGTATAAACTTAACAAAATTAATTTGTATCTGGATTGATAGAAATTTTGTATTATTCTAAACTTATGTTTTATTTCGAGTCAACTTGAGTTAGCTCGTTCAATAAATATTCACATTTGGCTCAACTGAGGAAATTTAAAAATTAAATAAACTCTTAATTTTTTAATTTTACTCGAATTATATCACTTATATGACCAGTTTTGTAAAATACCTATTATCTACATACAAAAAAATGCACAGCTCACACTTACAATCTAATTTTCACACTATAGTCTGAAAATTATAAATCAGTGTACCTACTAAAAAAAATTTACCTAAAAAAATCAGTAATTTTGAAATTTAACAAATAACTTTTTTTTTGATATTAACTATTTTTCTTTAAATAATTGTCTATGTAATTGTTTCAGGATGAACTAATGGAAATAATACTAGCATGAACATGAACGAACCATGGCCGGGAATAAGATGGCGCGTTATCAAATACTATTCTACGTTCTAATTAATTCTATTGCTATAGGTTAGTTTGGTTTATAGCAGTGCTAATCGACCTGTTCGCTGTTAAAGGAAACGGAAAAGGCTAAATTTTATAAAAATTAAGACCAACTCACAGTCACTTTCCAATGTGTATTATACCAAAGTGAAAAAATTAATTGTTATAAGGCGTTTATATGTATTTTTTCTAATAAATCTAACTGATTATTATACTAATAACAAAATGAAAATTATCATTTTTGCCCCTTTGCAAGAGAAACATTAGATCATAAACATTTCTTATGGCATTATCTCGTTGATTGTTTCTTTGTCACTTGGTTCGCTTATCAATAACTTCTTATCAGTTATCCAGGAGTAAACGATTACCACTTATATCTTATCAGTTATCACCATCCCATCAACTCTACCCCGATATCCACAATATTACAAACGAATTCAATTGATAAATGTTTGACACATCCCCAGCCAAAATCGACCTTTTTAGCTCCATAAGCCTTTCTATAAAACAAAAATTGACATACTTATACTTAGGTACACTTGATATACTTTCAAAAGGAGTGTCAGAGAATGACTTCTCCTATAGTTAGCCTTTTTTTTTTGTTATATCAAACTTTCCCCATACCTCTCCAAGTTTGAATGTCTTGAAAATTGTGTATAATTTACAAAACTTTCAGGTGAAGTTACATGCCAAGGAAAAACCGAACCCGAGAAACTCCAAATACCACTGACTGCTGTTGGATTAGCCCAGCTTATACCTGCTCGGCAAACCAATGCAAACTCGATAGGCGCGGGTGGTCCGACGAAACAGCAACCAATAAAACCACCCACCTCGGTGAAAGAGCTGTACAACTCTTCATCGTGCATTGAACCCCCGTTCTCATGTCCTCATCCGAAGATTCAATTCTTTTTGTACACTAGGTGAGTCTGTTTTGGCATATTAAAGTAATACAATTTTTTCAACATGACTCCGACAATAGAGTTTTCGAAAAACGACGTGATAAGAAAGCAAATCATCCGATTAGATATGGCATTATAGTGATAAGATAAGTTATTAAAAAGATAAATAAAGGAAACGAGCGAACGAGACATCAGTGTTGGGAAAAATGACAAAACTCGACATTCAAAAATATGCTGTCAAGTGTAAATATCGAAAATGTTAAAAAAAAAATACATATACATTTGGAAAACACGATATTTAATTTAGATTGTTCAGTGTATAGTATAAATTCGTAACTTGCCTAGCTATTTTTGGACCATTCGTTAAAAAATTGATCAAGAATGCGACAGTGATAAGAATGGCGATTGATAGAAATTCACTGATAAGAAATATGATAGCGATAAGAATGACGATTGATAAGAATTTAATTATAACCACTATAATAAAGGAAATGCTTGCATTATCGGTTTTTTGACGGCAAACAAATTGAAAAGGGCCAGCAACGATGCTAATACTCGAGTTATGTTTTTCAGACTGACACAGAAAACGCCTGATTTACTAGATGTAACCGATCCGGAGTCATTGTATTCATCACATTTCAACCCTAAGTACCCGGTAAAAATCATAATTCATGGCTTCCAAGGCGGCAGAAACCTGTCTCCAAGTACTGATCTTCGGAACGGTACGTATAGATTGTCTGATACTTAATAAATTATTTTATAAATAACATATAGTTTTTGTTATTTTTACTATATCTAACATGTATAACATATAATACTCCTATTTGGTTTATCTCCACTGTAGCGTATTTCACCAGAGGCAACTACAATATAATAATCGTAGACTACTCGACCTTAGCACAAATACCGTGTCTGAACCAAGTGGAATGGGCACCGAGGTTCTGTGGCATGTGCATCGCTCAATTGGCAAATTACTTGGCCGCTCACCCTCGAGGAGTTCCTCCGGATAAACTGCATTTGATGGGGTAATCGCACTTAAATTATAATATAAATTATATTTACCGGAATTTTTAACATTACAACCGACAACGAAGAGTGTCAAACTCGACAGATATTTGAATGCATGCGTGTATTCAATATGCATGCATTTTTTAAACAAATTAAAAGTACAATAAGTCTCAATTGAACATGTTGTATTTTATGAGAGATAAGCCCAATTTTAAGTAGATTAGAATCGGGTTGGGTTTGGTTTAAAATGTAATATTGATTGTTTCACAAACGATTAGGCCATCAATTAGTGTACAAACAAAGTACATTTGTAAAATGTACAAAGTTCATTTTTTTGTAAAAAAAAAAAAAACGTTAACCTAACGTTCTAGTTGATAGTTTTATGGAATATTTATGTTTGAGAAACCACATCAGAAGAGCCGGAATCCGAAATAGGAACTCAAACTAAATACATATTTCCTAGCTCCAAACGGAACATTTACTTACAAGTTTTCATGAACTCATCTGTTGGAAGATGTTCACATGACTTGGCTTCGAACCGGTCGGCTGATTTCCTTATATCATTTTTTTTTTTTAGATACAGCGTTGGAGCTCATATTGCCGGGTTGACGTCGAACTTCATAGAGAACGGCAAAATCGGCCGGATCACTGGTCTGGATCCGACCATAATATTTTACATGGGCAACAACCGGTCAAGAGATCTAGATCCATCCGATGCCCACTTTGTCGACATTATTCACACGGCGGCCGGTGTATTAGGCCAATGGGGTCCAAGTGGTCACGCTGATTTTTATGTAAACGGTGGTACGTCGCAGCCAGGTTGTGCCAGCGACAGCATAATACGTAAGTCCGTCCAATTAATTTACAGTGGATAAGTTTTTAGGGCTGGGGTCCATCCGAAATTGTATGGTCATCAATTTTCCGCTACCGTTTTCGCGACAGTGATAAGAAACAGCTGATTACTGATGCTGATAAGAGACAGGCGATGAGAAAATAAACATGGACATTAACATAAACACCGGCCGGTGGTGGAAACGCCTCAAAAACATATCCACGCTTCATTGTTCTTCCTTGAAGTGGAGAAAATGACGTTTTTATGCAACTCTTCTGTCTGTCCGTTTGTAAAAAAAAAAAACAGCACTATAAACGTGTTAATGTTTTTTTTAGAACGCGTATGAACCTTATCAGCCGTTCCTTATCAGTGAAAGTGCGTAACGCGTCACGCCTAAAAATATCATCGTGTTCTATAAATACAACTCTTAGCTTCCGTTTCATAATTCGAAGATTTAAATAATATAAATGTATTTGTACGTATAGGTGTATTGTATTATGTATGTTACTTGTATGAATAACAGACCGCGGTAGAGGTTAGAAATGAAAAAAACAACTTTTCCATTTTCAGTTTTCAAAAATTTGGGACTTCCGTTTTTTTACTCATAAATAAACCTTGGGATAACGATTAATATACAAAACCGCTAACAAAATAATATAGTTAAATTAATAATAATGGGTTGTCCAATGTTGTCAAAAAAAGTTTTTTCTGTTTAGTAAACAAACAATAATAATTGTAATTCGCTAAAAAAGAAATCAAAAATTTAAAATTGTTTAAAATAAATGGATGCAACGTTTTTGAAAAAAATCCCAATTTATTTTGGAAAATCTAAAAATGTTGCTTGTCGTATCTGTTTTGTAAGATGATTTACTATGGTGGAATAATTTATTTGTTGTTCAGACATTGTGTTCCGAAAAAAATCGAGAAAACCCCAATTATTTTTTTAAATAGAAAATATATTATGTATATCCTTGGTTCTTACCATTGACTTTTTACCGGTATGCTATTAAAATAAATGTTTTCCAAAACATTATTCCAGAAACGTTGTCATGTGACCATACCAAAGTGACGCCTTACTTCATTGAGTCGATCAACAGTAATATCGGATTTTGGGCATTGCCTTGTTCGAATCGATTTTACTTCAACCTAGGTCTTTGCGATCCACCAGAGTCCGATTATGTATTGATGGGTGAGCACGTGACGCATAAGTAAGTACAATATTCTTGTTAATCACTGGCTTGTATTAATAAATATATTGTAATAGAAAAGCTTGGATCACTTGGTGGGTTGAGTAAACCATTGGATTGTATCTGCGTTAGTTTAAATTGTTCATTTGGTTGTTGTCTATTTAGTGCAAAAATAAACTACCGTTAAAATAATTATAACTGCAAAGGCAGAAAGGTTCTCAGAAGACATGGAAGAAACGCATTCTAGTAGACGTGTTGCCAACCTAACCTGACATAATCTCGCCGCTTGTGTTTATTTTTTTATAGAAAGCTAAACTAATAATGCTCTTATAATAATATATGTACAATTTTTTTTGTTTTGTTTTCCAGAGCACGAGGTATTTATTATTTAAGCACAAACGCCAAAAAACCGTATGCAAAAGGGTTCCCAAAACAGAGAGCTGCGCGTGCTGCTAATCTCATTTTTGGATGATGTGCAATATTGTTATTGTGTACTATAATATAGACCTAGTCAATAGACAATAATCATGTTATAAAAAAAAAAATACTTTTAATTGTGATACCTACCTTTTATATTGTTGTGCTGTGTGAACCGATCCCGTTGGCTGTTTTTGATCAACACATATTTTCAAAACTAGTTGATAAAAGAGCACTAAAACTGTACATTATTAGAACGATTGGGTTGGAAACGATAATCAAATAAAAACCTTTCTCGGTTTAGTTTTAACCTTGTAATTAGTGTAAATTTTAGTGTTTTAGCTGTTTTGTACATTTATATTATGGTATTTTTTTTTTTTTTTGTAAGTGCCGTTCTAAACGATTTACTTGAAATCTGTGTACAATAATTACTGAAAAACATTATTATGCATAATATATGCCATTTATACCATAGAGTAATAATGTAAAGAGATGAACTAACATCTACTAGCTATTGTGTGTAAACAGAAGGACTAAAACCAGTGTGACCACACAAAAGAAAAAAAAAGTCTCCATTGTCGAGCGTTGTTGTGGTACTCTACATTATGATGAAAATAAGTTTTTACCACTTTACTTGAAATATTGTTGTTTTTTTCAAGATACTGACGTCATTCATATCTTATCACCGTGGTATATTAAACAGTAATCTATTTTCCTACTAACTAGGCAGACTGACTTTAGCCCTTCTGTTTGCGTCACATTAAAACCACCATAGCCACTCCCTGACGTACACCTACCATTTGCATATAATGTACATACTATAATATTATTTATGTTATCCACTAGAATATATTTTTTAATAAAAAAAAATATATCACTTAATGTATATAATAATTTTATGTTTTTTCTTGAATTTCGTGTCGTTATTCCTAATTAGCAATAACTGTCGAACCTATTGACTGGAATAATAATTGTTATTTTATGTATATATTATATTATATTGGAATGACATAGCAAGGTAAAATTATTTATTTGGTTTTCTTTATTCGCTAATCACAAAAAAACGGTCGTAAGAAATCAAACGATAAAAACGTCGAACTGGCAACTCGACACGATGATATATTTTTTGGCTGTTATAATTTTCAAACTGGATTTTTTCCGACAGACATAATATTTTCTCTAGTGGCTCATCGGTCGTCTGTAAATTCAAATAATATAGTCCAATGTTATTGTGTATACCCAACACTATAAAGGGCAAGTATTACGCGTTTTTTCCAAGTTATGTATCTAATTATAATATAATTTATTACACTACTTTCACTGCTTTCACCGTGGAAGATAATAAGAACTAAGTGTATACTATACAAAATACTACTTGGAGTAGGTGATATTAGCATATCCTTGATAGGAGTTTTCAAATGTTATAATATATTATGTATAAGTTTGTACAGTTCAATTGAGATGCATAGTGGAACCGAAATATTATTATGGTGTACTTAAAACAGACCCGAAGTATTAAACCACTACACCCTCCTTTTCATATGCCCTAGGACCCTTTAGTGAATAATGTAAATATATTTTTTAAATACTGTTTGACGATATTTGTTTGGGAAAGAGTTGCATAATTAAAAGGGGGAAAAATAAACAGGTTGTTTGATCGTTATCATTCCCATTTCTGATTTCCCGGTACAAATATTGTCAACAATTATAATAGGAGTGTGTAATGTGTATATTAATACACTTGATTTCATAATTAATAATCTACCAATTAAAATATATAATATATTATACAATACTGCAAATATAAACATAACACAGTGTCCAGCCGTGACTCTAGTTAATGTAACTTTTCGACAAACTAAAATATTTTAAATGTGATTTTTTGTGTGTCCTCCGCAACAAATTTTAAGTTTCAGTAAATAAATTGTGAGATATGAAATATAAGAAAATTAAAAATATATATTTTTTGTTGAGAAATAACCCTTAACGCAATCATACTTATGTTTTCACTAACTCTGTCCAGAAGACTTTTGACCGCAAAGATCTCCAATTTCCGACATCAGTGTACTGTTTTTTTTTTATCATCGCGTGTCATACTTTTCTTTTAAAAAAAATCTACTGTTTAATCTTATAACAAAAATGAGAAAGTGGAAAATATATAAACTTCTAATGTCATGAATTCTTAAAAAAAAAACTCAAGTTCATTGTTTTAGAGTGTCACCGTTTTTGTAGTATGACCAAACTCAAAACTCTCTAGTTTACCAAAAAACCGTGCAATTTCTGTCACTCCTAGACATGTTTTTACTCAGAAATGGCTACACAAGTGCTATGCGACAATCTGATTAAGAATATTATAAAATTCGTTAGGAATTTCACTTTGTCGTTTTCATAACCATGTCATCATGTTTAAGCATAATAAGTATTTCAATGTTTTTACTACTCAGTTGTATAACTCAACTGTATTTTGTATATTTATTATTTTATTATGTAATAACAACTAACTGACAGCAGATACATGGCTAATCCGTTAAAAATCCCATCCGTTGTTCATACATTACTTTTAAAAAAATGCAACGTTCTTTTTAAAACTATAGTCATTAAGTAATGTTTAGCCAACACCATTGAAGCATGAGTATGTTTTTACAGTTTCTCTAATCGGTTATCTCTTATCGTAACTTATCACTAATCTAGTAACAGCTGTTTCTTATCATTAATATATTTTTACAGTTGATTACAGTTTCTCTAATCAGTCTCTTATCATATCTTATCACTAATCTCTCAACAGCTATTTTTTCTCAGAAATCGCTACCTTCTCAAATTGTATAAACCCATCTCATACTCCTACCCTTCACACCTAATCACCATCCCTTCCAGTTCAATTACATTCAATTTTTATACTTTGGTTAACAAAATAATTAAATGATTTTTTTCAAATAATCCAGCAAGTAGAAATGTATGATGTTTTGGCATAGGAATTGTTTTTGATATAGGAAACTATAAAATAAACAAATCGCTTAATCCGTAAGGAATGTTTAAACAAATGGTTTATTTTTAATTGTTAATAATACAAATGACTAGTTAATTTGCAGTAAAAGTAATATTATATTTTCCTTCTTCAATATAGGTATTTGTTTATTTAAAATCTACATCGCTCCTAACATATAATATTATGCAACATATTTATAATGTTTGTGAATAACACTAAGAGAGGAAAAATCACAATAAAGTCATTATAGTATGTAAATAAAAAAAAAACAATGAATACACAATTCATCAGTGATTAGAATATAATAAAAAGTAGATAGTATATAAACGTGTTGGAACATGCTATAATAATATTATTTTATTAATTGTAGAATTAAAAAAAGAGAAGTCGATTTCATAAATCACACACAAAATACACGCGAAGTCGAATACAAAATTAGTATATTTTATTAACGGTATTAATTACTATTTTTTTTTTAAGTATTATTGCTCGGAGTTGAAACGAATATCGGCTTTGAGCGGTTAACAGCTACTCTAGAGCCTAAACGGTGACATTAATAAACTAGCAAAAAACACGGACCAGCGTTGAAGTCTATGAAAGTTAATGTAGTACATTTTAAAGAGAATTAAATACCTAGTATATTAGTGTATTTTTACTTTAGTATTTGATGGAATTTAATGCTGTAGACGCAGTAGTAATGACAATTCAAAGAGATTCCAATTGTTTTTGCCATCAATAAAACCGGATTCATTCAGGTGGATACAATTTAAAAAGCCAACACGCGCTTCAGCTCACAACAACAATATACACAATCGAAAATATTCATTCAAACACATTGCATACAAATAAAACGAAAATCTTATATTATATTTTATGCGAGTGCCTATATTATAATAGTATGACATAGTGTTTTTGAAATTTTATTTTAATAATAACATATTTCATACAACGTTTAAAGTCAAAAACAATACTTAAGAATTATCATCAAAACGCACAGAACAATATATTGTCATAATAGAATAGACGATTTAATTGCGCATATTATTAAGTATATGTGACCGCAAACGGAGGCGAACAGATAAGGTTTCTTGGGGTTTTTTTTTTTTTAGGTTTTATTCAATAATTATCGATGGTTATTAATTATTATATTAAGTAATATGTATAGGATTATTCTAAATGTAAAACAACACTTCGAAATCCAGACCTTAATACTAAAAGGACAACGAATATCTAACACGTGGTATATATTCTAATATTGTACTATCTACAACAATAACTACACTAAGATATATTTATATTAATATACGGGTTTAATAGTAAAATTAAAACTACATCAACCTATAGATATAAATAATAATAATAATTGTGTCTACTAATAAGAGTGCGTTGTCGCCAATTAGTGTCAATATAGTTAAATACACAACAATTAACGCTATTCGATAGCTGGTCTAAATTAAAGTCATCAAAATTGTCAAGTCCTTAAATTATTTTAATATAATTAGTATTTATCGTTTTCGGTTGACTTTTAAATAATTAAAAACAATATATTATACAAACTAGCGAGGAGACGGCAAACATATTGACATACACCCGCCAAACACTTATACTAAATTAAGATTCCATAAAATCCACACATTACCTATACTCTACTTTATTGGCTTAAAGTATTATTTTTCGTAAAAAGAAAACAAACAAAAAAATATGTCCACTAATAATAGTTATAATATATATATTTTTTTTTAATTACAAAAACCGATTGTGCGTTTTTTTTTGCATTTATAGTAACTAGTGCGTTTAGAGTGTTTTTGTTTATTGCCCATTTTTATAATTGAATTCATTTTTAAAACAACATCAAGTCACGTTAAGCCATCGACGAAATTATTACAATATATTATAGTGTTTATTTTTTAACGAGTGCTGTTTTAAATTCGTCTGTAACGTATTAATTGTTTTATTATTATTTTTATTGTCAATATTATTATTGTCCACATTTAAGGCATATTGTTGTGTCCTGAAGTTATGAATAAAACAACTGAAAATAAATAAATAAACAAATAATAACAAATTAGTTAACATAATAACAAACCCCCACTATAAAAATACTCAACAAAGTTAACAAGAAACAAAAAAAAAAAACAATATAGTAATATAAACGATATTCGTATTAATATTAATCAATAATAATAGTTAACCTCGACGGTCTTAAATCTAAACTTAAAAATTAGTTATTGTCTTGTCAGCCTTGAGATAGCTTTCAATAGTTATCTCGTCTTATATATTACATTATAATATACTTATAGTTAAGAGTCTTAAATAACTTAAATACTACTAAATGTATTTTTAGTTATTTTATTTTAACGTTAAAAAAAAGCGAAATTACTAATACAAATTTTATTTATCCGAAAAAAAAACATGAATAAAGGTAAACAAATATTTCTAATTTAATATTAATAAAATCTATAAAAATTGGGACACATTAAATTTTGATACCTAAGTAGTAGCGTTATTATTATATTAATTTATAAATCAATCAATAGTTTTTTTTTCTGTACGCCAATGAAACTATTTTGGATATTTATTTAATTGACACGATATTATTCGAACGATTTCTTAAAATTACTGAACTTACCGACTAAAATATTGTATAGTAATATAATAACAAAATGAAAACTTGTCGAGTTCGAATTTTTTTGCTTAAATTGATTTAAAAAAAAAAAAACAATTACTCTTTCAGCTTTGACGTTAGCTCGACTGCGACTAATGTTATTATAATTATTTTTATTTATCACAGTAGGACGAATTTTGAAAAGGCTTTCATTACACGTCGGCAACGAGTACGCGTTATTATAATAAAAATATTACATTAATAAATTATCAACTATTACATTAAGTCTACTACCTTATGTCTTAAAAATTGATCTTAAACTCTAAGCGACAATCCAAACGGTTATTGCGAATTTCACGGAAGTTTCCAGGTGTGACGGACTCGTGTACACGAGTAGTATAATAATTAATAATAATATAGTGTAGAGGTAATTTCGACGTTCATAATATTTATTTAAAATTCGTTTAAATTCAACGACATTTTGATTTTCTCTATCATAATCTACTATTGAATTTTTATTTGCAAAAAACACTAAGCTTTCAATTGGTTTTTTTCAACGTTCTCGTGTCAATTTGTGTTCGTTTAATTTTATCAACAATATAAAACCTGGTTTAATTTATATTTTTAGTTGCTAGGAAAACAAATATTGTATAAACTAGATTGCTAACCTGCGATAAGACTTGAAGGCACCGTTCGCCATTTTGAAAGAGACCGATGAAACTAATCTATGCGGTAGTCCAAAGACTATTAATTAACTGAAACGCTTGTATTCACCTTGAAAATTCGTTTATCACGTCTTTGACTACCATAGTCTCTTATCGGTTGCAAGTTTTAATGATTAATTCTTATCACATGTTTTTGTTCACTATCTTTTATCTCTTATCAGTTGTCGCGAAAGTACACCGTGATAAAACTTCTGGGCTTAAATTAAAATGGCGGACGACACGGGAACAATCTAGTTTATCTAATATGTATTGCCCCAGTTGCTACAGCTCGGTTGGAGCTGCCCATTTTTGTGGATCCGATGCAGTTGAGCCGATAAAGTTAAGTCGACATTAGTACAAACAAAATTGACAACAATTCCTATTAAATAGTAATATAGAGTACAAATGTTGTATACACTACGCCAATTAACGTTGAATTCGTTTTCTAGTTTCTACATATGCGAGTGAATACAATAAATTTTACCGATTTTATACTATTATTATAAATTTAAATCTATAATAAATATTAATTATTATTATTATAATTATTGAGACAAAAAGAAATTTTTAAAAAAATGTAGCTATGCGATCAACGATTATTGCTCTTGTTTGTAGTATAATATGTAAAAGGTTCACAATGTAGATAATACGACTAGGTGATTTTGATGTAACGAACATTATTGTTCGGACTTGAAAGGGTTGGTCACCGTGGGTTTTGCCAGGAAAGGGTTAGTCGGGTTAACGGTTGGCGGCGTTGGTTCGAGTTCGGCGCTACCAACCTTCAAACCTGCGTTCGTGTACCCTTGGCTAGACTGTTCGATGGAACCATATGACGGGGGCTTCTTTTTCTCTAGACTCACCTAAATTAAATACAATTTTTATGCCATGCTGGGCTGTTATACCACTTCTACTAGAGTCAGGGCGCAACCAGAAAGAGTGAGAATTGCTGACAAATTAGGATGGGATTTTCTTTATCTTTTCGGTTATCATTTATGGAGCGTGTCGCGGCAGCCCGGCTTGCCAAAAGAAATTTTTTACTTCAAAAAGAACTGATGGAAGGGATGGAAAGCTGTTGCGCCATTTCGTAGGGAACACAATTTAAAATGAATATTCCACCGACCTCGTCCATTTGTTGGTCTTCTTCGACTTTGGGCTCGGCCCACGGTTGAAGTTCTCCCGAAGCAAAGATCCCGTAAAATATGACTCCCACAAAATGAATAGCTGCCGCCAGAATGAACACTTCGGACCAACTCTGTTTTGTCTGAGCACCGACAAAAAACAAATTATCAATCATCAATTGAACACCTCTGGACGGGTCAACGCGGACAAACCTTATGACTTATAATCAGATTTATGGTACCCGGACACAGGAGACCAGCTATCGTACCGATTCCGTTGGAGATGCCCATCAAAATACTGGCGTATCTCGGCGCTATGTCCAAATGGTTGACGTTGAACCCTGCGAACGCATACAAACGAGTGTGTCATTAAACACAGGTCACAGCACTTTGATGGATCCCTGTTTTACTATACCGGATATGGCGAAACCGCTGAAAGCTACGCCGCACGTCAACGCTATTGTCGCCGTAAGAGCTGTGTCGGCGGTGGCCAGCAGGAGGAAAAACGTGGCTTCCATGCCGAAACCGCCACAGTTGAACAGCTTCCTCACGGCTGTGGTCGAAAGGATGCCGTTTTTGCGAAGGTGATCGGCCAGAAGACCCCCGAGGGGCACTACGATGGTCATAAGCAGATGAGGCAGAGCGCCGATGTAACCAGTCTGCAAAACGATTTAAGTTATAGAAACGCCGCCCCGTTTGAAAATCTCACTTTTCACAAGTTTGTGTCGCCGTATAGTTTTGCCACTCACTTCGGACACCTCAAAGTTGAACGAATGCAAATACGAAGCCTGGAATAACACCAGCAAATAGAAGTTCCAAGAGCGACAGAAATTCGCCACTATGATGGCGTACACGGGCATCGAGTGAAAGAACTCTCTCCACGGTGTGTTGGTCAATGTGGGAGGAGCCGATTGTTTAACCGATCCCAGTGATTTTTCTATGTGATTCAGTTCTCTGGCCGAAATGGTCGGATGCAGAGACGGTTTTTCGAATGTCAACCACATCCAAAACACGTACCAGATCATTCCCATCACGCCTGCAAGACGACACGCGGGTAAACGTTGGTGTATTTTATTTTTTCCCTCGCGGCATAAAATATTACAACACCGCATGCGTTACCATAGGCATAGAACGGAGCTTCCCAACTAAACCAATCGATCAGCGTCCCGGATAACGGCATGCCGACTACTACACCGGCGTACGAACCGCATAAAGCAATAGTGGCCAGCCGAGATCTTTCCATGGGAGGCGCCCAATATCTCCAAATGCCGTGACAAGCTGGATACGTGACGCCCTGTATTATAATTGCAGACAAATACATAACGGCTTATGGAGACTGAAGACGTAGGACGGTCTCATTGGCAAGGTATACGATTAGAAGGTTCGGAAGCCTAAGGGTTAATGAATTAACATGCCGTTACCTCGATCAGTCCTTGAACGGTTCGTATGAAAATTACATAAGAAGATTTATGGACTTCCGTCGCCGAAGGGATCAGCATGTTGAGCACCGCCGACATTGCGATGGCTATCCCGAACACCCTAAACGTTTGGTGATTTATGTGTGTTATACGTTTCCGGAATAATGGTCATTGAGCTCTTACTTGTTAGCGGGATACATGGAAGCCAAGAACCCGCCTGGCACCTGGGTGATTAGATATCCGCAGAAAAACGAAGTCTCGATGGCGACGAACGATCCCAAGGTCCAGTTGATCTGTGAAGGGACAAATAAAAAATATGTCGAAAATCAATAATCGCTGTATCTATATAAGTACAAGTGCATATTAAATAAACACACCGGTCGCTCGTGTATGGGCGTATTTTTGGGTAGCGGAGGGTGCACCGTAGTCGTAGTGGTTGTATTCAAGTGCATAACCTCGCTGGGCGGTGCTTCCTATTAGATGCAAATTCAGTTAATACAATATAATATATATATATATAAATAAGACGACTCGTTAAATATGAGTCAATTCCAGCACAAAAAAAAAGTGTACACACATGCTCCTAGTTGATACTAGTATCGACTAGGCGCATGATACTAGTAGTTTACTCCTTTTCGGATCACCTTTTTCAGGTCAAGTGCTAAATCTAAATAATATTTATCTAGACAAGATATAAATAATAAAGGTAACGTTTTTTTTTTTTTTTCTAGACAATTTCTTCGCGAATCAAACTCAACAGTCAACCCTTTGACAAAAGCCAAATGACGTTTTCGATTACACCGCGTTCGACGCGACCGCCATATATCATACACAGTATACATAATAATACAGTGCATCGTATTATAATAACCGAGAGAGGAAGAGCATTCCTTTACATACGTACAGTATATTATTTATATATATATATATATACAGCGTGTGTCTCGTCCACGTGACCCTCGCGTATATTTCACACGCCGTTATGAATTCCATTTCGTATATATATATATATGTATATGTACACTTCCTTCTCACCCCCCCCCCCCAAACAGTCGATATTTCAATCCCCTTCCACCATAAGGGGGGGTGGGGGGCAGGGCCGGAGGCGGACAAACACAAAACGCAATTGCTTTTGCCCGGCACGCAGACTTCGCCGTCGTCGGACGCGCACCATACACGTTTAGTCGCCGAAAGTAAAAAAAAAGTAAAAAAAAACAGGAGGGTGAACGTTTTCAACCGGATTCACGGTACATTACACACAAGCCTAGCCGCGGCCGCACCCGTGACTAAACTGAAAAGAGCCCCCACGCGAGGGTGTTGTGGAAACGCGGCGGTACACGAGATAATCGGCCCAGAAGCGCCCGCGCCGGTCCAGGCGGCAGTTTTACTACTCTTGTAATCCTAGTAGGACACACGAGCAGCAGCAGACCACGCGCACCGCCGCTGCCCGCTAAAAAACAGGCGCGACCGTTTCGACTCGATCGCCCCCCCCCCCCCCGTTCGCGCGCGCCGGTCACCGATGAGCGATTCGCGGGGGTCAACAATAATAATCGGCCCTCGTCGGGGGGGGGGGCGGGGAATTTTGTTTTGTACACTTACGTCCGGTCCGATGTGGAATTTCAACTTGGCCATGGGCATGTTGCACCGCATCCCGAACGAGATCATAAATCCTGTAAATACACAAAAATGTCGCCGGTTAAAATACAACCGTCTTGTCGGTTAGGTTAGCCGAGGGGCAGCAACATTCGAAGGGATCATCCGAGATGATCAAAAAAAATCCACCACCAGCGGGGACAAGTGAAAACGTCAGGGTTAACCCTCGTGTCCGATAAGAGATTGTTGGTGAACTACTCGTACCCCTCTCCCCTTCGCAGCTGTTTCCAATTGGAGTCATTCGAATATTCGGATTGCATCACTATGCACTATAAATACTATGCACTATAAGTAAGGCCAGTTGTAAAGTGTGGTTGTCCCATTACATTGTATATAATATAATATATTTTATACTGTATTTAAGTACTGTTTTAACATATGGAAAAGAAAACGAGTGTGACAAAATTTTAATAATGTTTCCTTCTACAGACTGCATTGACTTTCAATTTTTAATACAATCACCAAAACCGTAAAAAATATAAAATCTTATTATGACGCTTAAAAATTCATCTTTTTGACAGTTAGAGTTAAATATTATTGTCAGTAGAAAAATTACAAATTAAATTGGTAATATTTTTATCCTGCATTCGCTTTTAAACCACAAAGTAAACAAAGTCAAATTTCGAATGAAAAAAACAACTTTGCATACCACCAATCTAAGTTGATGGTCTTATGGCCTGCTCAAATCAAGTTTTAAGTTGGTATTTAATCTGTAACGAATTAATTGACTTTAAAGCAATTGTCTAATAGTTATGTGGTAGGTAGAATAAATCAACAAGTTTCATTTGAAGAGATATCTAAAGAAATGAGCCAAATACTTGACCAAACTTAACGCAACCGCTTTGCATGTTATTCACCCTCTCCATTCCTATTTAAGTGCTTAACAATTTTTCGCTACACCACTGCCGTAATCGTATGGCGAAAATATCAAAAACATTTCGACTTACCGATGCATGTCAGTATGGCTATAGTGTATCTCTTGCTCAAATTTGGAATTTCCGGTTTGATGTAACGGTCGATATGTCTGAGCGGTGGCCGCACCGGTGACGGCAACGACTCCGTTGGACTCTGAAGACCCAGTTCGCCATCAGCTCCTGAGTAATCTTCTTTGTAACTAAAAACCCAAAAAACAATCGTGGGAATGTGTTTTTTTCATTTTGAGTTTACCGGAAATTTCCTTATTTTTACTTTCTTGATTTCGAAAAAAAAAATCAACAAAGAGCTTGTTGTGAATAGGAAAAAAAACCAAAATGCTAGACACTATTAGTGAAAAGATAAATACTTGTCGCGGCTTTAATATGAAAAATTAGGTAGATCGGATTTCATACACACGCTGCATAATATTATTTCAAAATGAAATAATGACGTTTTCTAAAAAATTAAAATTCAAGATAGTCTTCACGCTTGACTAGAGTTTTACTTACGGTATGGAAGACTTTTCTAAGTGTGATTTGTTAGTGAATTCAAACTCGTCGTATTGTTGTTGGTTCGGCCTGTTGAAATAAAAAAAATACATTAGTATGGAAAACTAGACGATTTGCAATTATTTCTTTAAAACCTTTAACTCGTTAAACTTAACATTAGATAAATCTAAGTATTGGCCAACAGTCACATCCCAAGCGCAATTACCTTTAGGATATAACTTTATAATACACAAATGTTCCTTAAACGGAACAAATTACAACTGTAATCCTATAGAGATGTTTATGTTTTTTAAGTGTAATAATTGACTATTGTTTGAAATGGTCAGAGCAAATAGGATATATATATATAATGTGTAATGTGTAATGACATTACAGTTATTATTGTGCTGAAATAAACGAAATAAAAATCAAATAAATAAGATTAAATATTATAACCGTCCAAATCTGGTGCGCACAATCTGGTTTGCATCTATTACAATATATTTACCACCGCGGGCTGCAATTGTGTGTAGTATTTTTTTTGGAAACCGATAGGGGATGCAATTTGGAATTATTGACGTTATTCCTTGTATCTCGGCAACAGGACTTTAGGTTGTACATGACTTTAGGTTTTTTTTTTTTTTTTTTTTGATATTATATTATGCAATGTGCGCCTTTGGCACGGACGAGCAAATCACAAGGCGCCGCCGTGTCGACTGCATTCCGGCACTTACCTTGAAGCCACTCGACGTCCCGGCCAGACAGTCGGCTCGTTTACCGTAGAGTGATTAAAACGCGATAGGGAGAAGGTTTCGCACACAATAACCGCGGCAATTCAATTAATTTCCAAAACGCCTCGGCACGGCTGTAGACAGTTTTTTTCTTTTCACCGTCGCCGACCCCGGCGGCAAAACTTTTGATGGCTTCTTTGCGGCATTTGTACGTGTGTATATATATTTGAATATAAAAGTTAGCGCACCGTACACCGCGATGGAAATGAAAAACAAAAATAGATTGATTTTGCGCGGAAACAAAACGCGGTTATAAACCCACCCCCCACCCCCCGTCCGTCTATGTATCCAAGTAGAATACCAAGTCGGCGGTAAGGCGGGCTGCAGTGTGACCAGACGGAGCGTGATTAAATTTCTTCCGGTACATATTTGAAATTCGTTTCACTACTGCAGCCATGACTTATCCAGTTATCACATTATCAATTTGAATTTATCTATTGATCTGTATGGTAGGAAAATAGCATACGGTGCATTGTTTAACAACTTGAAAAAAAAAATTGACTTTTATGTAAAGCGGTCACACTGTCACTGGCAGTTAAGTTAAAAAAACTATTTTCCAAAAACAATGACGATAGTGTTATTGTTTCTATAAGAGGTTATAGTTTTTTATTATTAATAGGTGACATTTGAGCTGGTTTTTAGCTTCGATGGAAAGCGGAGAAGATATTTGTTTACAATAATCCTTTCAGTCCCTAGTTTTGTTCAATTCGTTTGAGATACAATTTTTTTCGTCAAATAGCGATAGCATAGCGATTTTTAGAGAAATCGAAATTTGAATTTAAAAACCGATTAGAGAATTAAACATCGGTCCAACTAAAAGTGGAAAAAAAACATTATTTCATGCGAAACGTTGTCCACTGTTCTAACATTTTAAACAGCAGGAGTTATTAATTGTGTAAAAAAAAAAAAAAAGGCTTGCCATTGTTATTATAACGACACCGGGGATTGAAATAGATAAGGACTATTTTTTAGATTCAGGCGTACCGACAATCTTTAATTGTAAACGTCGCACAAAGAAAATCTCTATTGTGTGTATTGAGTCAAAGAGAAAAACGCAATACGATAACCATAATGTAATGTTGTATAGCAATTGGATTTTTATACGTATACCGTTACAGTGCGGTGTGGAGCGTTTTGACGGCGTAAGAAATCCGACTCTGTGGGCGACGAACGGGCGATAATGGCAGTTTGATTGATGAACCGTCGTCGAAGCCGTTTGGATTTATGCCTTTTGCTCTGCTCGAATACACCTCTCGACCCCCCCCCCCCCCCCCCACCCTGAAAATGTCCACGCGCGAAACGGCCCCGGCCTTTGAGACACAACGACACCGTGGTCCGTCACGTCGTCTTATCCGGTCCGCACTGCCCCCGGCCAGTCGATTTCTCTTTATTATCCTCTCGACCAGCGCCTTTCGCCCTCGAAATACTAACCTACGCGTCACCGGTCCGTCATTCATCAGAAACCGAGCGCCCCCGCAAACAAACAACGGCAACGGTCCACAGTGTTCATTACCGTGGATAAATCACCGTGGTCCGGTAAATGGCTTTTAAAACAAACTTCGACGCGCAGCCCCCCCCCCCCCCACCCGGTGCTCGACAAATATTGAGTTTTCCCGCGAACCACGTGGAACAACAAAGGAGCAGAACATCGGCCTGGTCGGGGAAAACCCGACTTTATCTAGGCGACCGCTCGGAAAAGACGTTTTCGTTTAGCCGAAATTGATGTCCTCGAAAAACCCCTTAGTCACGTCTAAAGCGCGTAAAGTAGAGTGTTCACAAAACGTACACAGTGGTCGTTCCCGTCTGATGTAACCACACACTCGTTTTCTCGGAAAATGTGGTAATTTTGAAAAATGTTAGCGTTTGAATTTTTAAAATATTTTTACCAGTAGAAACTAGACGGTACAATAGTTAATGACAAGTTGTAATTACAGTGAAAGTAGGTATAACGAATTAAAATCAAAAAGTACTGAAATAACATGTCGGATGAAGATCTAGTAAGCAGTGAACGCTATTGAATGATAGATCAAAAACGGTATCGGTTTGCAGGTGGAAATGAAATTGTGTTATTATTTTTTTTTAGTGATTTTCGCTCCCTCTTTTGTCGCGGTGAGATTTATTTCTTTCCGGGGCTGTATAATATTTTTTAATGTCAGGTTGTGTTACTCATTAGCTGTCCGTAACATCCCGGGTGTACAGGAATAACGAAAGCGGTCGTTTTGCCGGCAATATGAAAAATTCATTGTCACCTCGTTGAAAAGGGAAAAAAAAAACCAAACCGCTAACAATCTGTGTGGCGGCCGGTTTTCCCCCTATCCCGACTAAATCACCCGTGGGAATAGCCGGGATAGGCGGCAAGGGATATATAATACAGTGCATACGTGTAAGGGACGGTGTATTAATATTGTATACAGCCAGCAGTATATATATATATATCCTCTTACACGGGGAATCCGTTCTTTTATTACCTATTTCGAGGAGTTACGACGACGAGTGGCACTCGAAAATAAGTTTTTTCGATACTTTATACATGTATATCGATGGAAAAATTAGTGCAAAACGTTCGGTGCTCTTGACGACGAGCACGTGTCTCCCGGTCCTGTTTTTCAAGGGGGATTAAAACCCATCCGAGTCTGGACGCGGTAATAGACAATTAACGAGGCTTTCGACAGGATAATATATAATATAACGGCTATATATATATATATATATATATCACACGAACAGACGATTAACCGCGCTGAGGAGGGTGTTGTTACACAAGAGCATGAATAATTCATACTATTCGACAAATAGGTCCAACACTACACAAACGGGCCATCGAAATAACGAAGATAAAAAAATATAAAGAAAGAGCTTCTTTTCGCCGGACTTCTAGACCTCGAGCAGCCTATGTCGACTGTTTTGAAAAAAACGCTAAAAATATGTACATTTTTTTTGCGTGGTTTTCTTCACGATTCCGAAGGGGAAGGGGTGAACTTTTTAAATTTTTGACCCAGCAGAGAGTGGGTACCGTACTCTGGTACGATTTCTGATTTTAATAGAGTTGCCACTGTATTGTTGCCAAACTATAATAATATATGATTAGCCACCCTAAAAGCGTAGGTATGCTGTATAATAGTACTTACAGAGTACATGCGGGCATGTAAATTAAAACGCTTTGCCTCTATACCTACGGCCATCGCGCCGTCAAACTCACTTCAAACGATATTGTAATTCGACTCGGTAATTTGTGTAAAGCAAACATACAATGTATATATATATATTATACAAAACGTTATGAGGGGTATCCCGTCCCTTTTTTTTTTTTTCCAGTAGCGACAGTTTATTAAATCTCTGGAGTTTATTGACTGAGCGACGGCGGTCCAAATAGGGATGTTGCCGAATATTAATATACGATACAGCCGCCGGTAGAGCAACACACAAAAGGAAACCTCGGTAAAATTACTCGGTCGGTGGTTTATATTGGTTTCGCCGTTTCCCCTCCAGACATATTACATAAAAAAAAAAAAAAAACGATACCTAAATAATAATAAGGTGTATGTGTGTGTATAGCGATGATGAGCGAGCAGTGTTTGAAAGTTGAAAGACGATATTGTTGGGGCGGAGGAGGGAAAGTAATAAAAGCGTTTACAAACGAACGGATGAAAGAAAAAGAAAATCTAAAACTGATTTGACGATAAGATAAAAATACAAATACGAAATAATATGTTTGCCAATGTCAGACGACTTCGACGACGACACGGGACAACAGTTTTTTTTTTTTTTACTTTTTTTGTATTTAATGCTGTATAAATTACATTCATTGTCAGACAAATTCGATGCACAGTCGACGTGAATAGGTCTTACGGCTGGAATTCGGTCGTTAATTAGCGTGTCGCTATTGTAATACAAAAATATTTCAAAGGGGGGAGGATGGTGATAAGGGGAAATCTATAATTCCTAGATAACTAATATGAGGATTAGCTGATAAGAGGGAAAAATCATCCGATTACAAGACAACCGTGTTTGTAATCCAATGTATTTTTTTATCAAGGGAAAGATTTAAATTTGTATTTTCCGTCAAAATTCCGAGTTCTTATTTTAATTACTATATGTTCATGTTAACGTAATATTATTAAAATACATTAAAACGTTGTATACAAATTTTCTACAAGTCAAAAGTACGAGTTTAAAAGGTATCTAATTGTATAATAAACAATTATATTTTAAAATGGGTTAACGAACGGAATTTTATTTTTTTTAATTTGTTTTTTGTGAAATAAAGTTTATTTTATTTTATTCGTTATTTTGTTATTC